GTACGTACGGTGGTTAGAGTACGTAATGAGGAGAGGCAAAGGCAAGAGTAAAATCCAAAGAACACATGCACGTAGCGTGTACTATGTGGCATCAACACACTTTTTATAGCTCTATACCTTTAATATGTCATTACGTGCGTGATATTCTGGCAGTCTAATTCCAGGAACTTCCAAACCATTATCAGTACTGCACCCCTTGTTCTAGAAATCTGCTCGTTACTTGGACAAAAGAACAAATTACCTTCAATAAGAAAAAAAGGTGAAATTTTAGTGAAAGACATGATGATTGAGATCTTGTTTTGTTCTCCAATTCCCGAGGAGCACTTTGAATTGGAATATATACTCGCAGATTCTGTTATATATATATAGTTAGTTATGGGCTTATGGCTTTGGTCACTATAAGTAGGCGATTTATGTGAAAACAATGTCAATTATCACTTGTTATATGATAGTCAAGAAAACATATGAATTTGTACAAAAATCATTCACAATTTACTTTAATTTGAATGATCTAGGGCTAGGATTTACAATTTGAGGTTTACATTTGAGATTCAAAATTGAAGGTTTAGAACTTAGGATAATGCAGAGATGAGTTGCAATCCTATGTTATATCATCATACTAGAATAATGTTATGAGTTAAAATTTAAAATTCGATATCTTATAGCTACTTTTATAGTTGAGTGCATCCAAAAATAGGGTTAATTACATAAATATTGTATTTTTTTTTAATTTACCATCAATATTGCGGATTAAAAAGTATTGACACAGAGACGGCGCCCAACACTGAGGTGGTACCGCCTGAGACTAAGGCGAGTTGGTGAGAATTTGTACCTGGCGATGGCGCCCAAGACTATGGCGGGTCCGTTGGCGTATTGCTGGCTACCCCCCTATAAAACCAGCGAATTTCGTTTAAGTTATTCACAAAAAAAAAAAAAAAAAAAATCGACTAAGTTTGAGGAGGAGAAGCTCTGGTTGCTGCTGCAAAAATGGCTAATAGGTAAGAGACACATTTTTTTTAATTATACTATTCAAATGCTATTATGATTTTGTTTAGTTAATTAGTGAGTTTGTTTTTTTTTTAGCGATTTTAGAAGATTTGAACTAGTCGTTCGGTGGAAATCGGAGAAAGTAGAGGATAATTTGGGCGTCAAATTCGTTGGTGGTAGTAGTTTTCAGTTGACGGTTCCATCTAGGGTGACATATCACAAACTTTGTGAGAATCTAATTCCGAGAATACGGCATAGAGACGAAGCAGTACAAGATAGTGATGTTATCACAGGTTTCACTTACCTTCCACAATGGCAGAATGGTGTTTTATTTCATTATTCGATGCCTATTGTGGATGATGATAGTTTGAATGTGCTTTTCGATTTTATGGCACAAAACCCTTATTGTTTGGGTGCTGAGATACATGCTGAGGTCAGTGAGAATCGGGATGGAGAGGAAGAAGATACATGGAGCATGCCATCCGATCATGACGATGTTGACGGAGAGGAGGATGATGCAGAAGAGGAGGAGGAGGAGGAGGAGGAGGAAGATGGCGAAGGAGAGCAACCTAATTATCCTCCATATTTTTACTTGCAGGGTAATGAAGAGGACGACGAATTATCATATGCTGATTCATATGGCGTAATTCCAATGCCTGTTGTTGCTAGTTTGGAGGAGAATTCTACAAGGGGCAAATATTTCACTCGAAACAAGCTGCACAGGTGGCTATTAAATACCACGCACTACAACGAAACTTTCAATATGGCGTGGTGGAGTCGTCACCTTCAATCTGGAAGGTCAGATGCTTGAAGCACAAGGATGACAATTGTCCTTGGATGGTGCGGTTTGGATGTCGAGATATTGGAAGCGAATGGACTGTGAGAAAGGCCAAGTTGGTGCATTCTTGTAGCAGTACGACTCAACCGATGAATCATCACCATCTTGATGTCGATATTATATATGAGGCCGTCAAACATTTGGTACGTGCCCAACCAAATCTGAGTGTTCTAACTGTGCAGGCCGAGTTGAAAGATATGTTTAATATGCAAGTTACTTACAAGAAGGCTTGGTATGGGAAACAAAGAGCATCGGAGAAGTTGCATGGAAATTGGGAAGAATCCTACGATTATTTGCAAACATTCTTGCGGGTGGTAAAGAGAAAAATGCCAACATCAGTGATTGATTGGGTAAGAGTTCCTTAAGCTCAACTAGGTCATTCGATCTTTCAAAGAGTATTCTAGCTTATGGACCTTGTATAGATGGATTCAAGAATTGTCCAGGAGTCATGGTTGTTGATGGAACATTTCTTACTGGAAAGTATAAAGGAGTGCTACTCATGGCGAGCTCATTTGATGGCCGGAAGAAGATTTTTCCAATAGCATTTGTCAACGTGGAGAGCGAGAATACTAAAAGTTGGCCATGGTTCATAAATCACGTTCAAGGTTTGACCGATCGAAATGATGTATGCATCATCTCGGATAGACATGCGGGACTCTATGAAGCCATGGGTGACATCAGAAAAGGTTGAGAGTGGAGGTGGTGCATGCGACACTACGCAAGCAACTTGCAAAGAAAGACTAAAAGCAAAATCATGTATAAGCAACTATTTCGAGTCGGTAGGCCTTCTTCATTTAATTTTGTTATTTACTTTAATTTAATTTTGTCATGATTTTATCTAACTCGTGTGGTTGTTTACTTTGTTAGCCGGAGAAAAATGCTTGGAGAAGTTCGATCGTCAAGTTGAGCAATTTAAGAAGGTGGACGCTGATAGGAATATTTCTTGTGATAACTGGGTGGACCAACATCAAATTCGTTGGAGCTTAGCGCATGATAACTATAATGGTGGGCGTCGATGGTCTATCATGACATCCAACATGACAGAGAGCATCAATGGGGTTTTCAAAGGTATTCGTTCACTTCCTATTGCGTCTCTTGTGCAACATACCTAATGGCGATTGTTGGAGAAATTCGATAAGATGAGGTTGGAGACAGAAGCACAGATTAGTAGTGGTAATAGACGTGGTATGTAGTTTGGTCGAATTTTAATCAAATGTAGTAGTTGTTGTTTTTCAAGTAGTTGTTATGGTTTGAAGTAGTGGTTGTTTTTCCATGCGTATGTTGTTGTTGTTGGCCAAATTATAAAATGTCCGAGTTGTTGTTTGTTATTTGTTGTTCCGAATAGTTATCGTTAATAACATAATACATGAAGTTAAAAATAGTCCACATAATAGCCCACATAAATATCCCAAAGAAGTACATAATAATAACATAACAAAAATAATAGTCTCACTGACGACCACCATGCTCCACCACTAGATGGCCGCCAGTACCACACCTCGCAGGCACCCTGTTACGTGGAGGCCGATCTCCCTCAACACCACCATCCTGATCTTGTGTACCGAACATATCATCCTGCTGAGACTGAATCTGCTCCTCAGGTACACCGCCACCGTACTGCTGAGACTGAAGATGCTGCTCATAATGCCACATCGTCTCCTGAAAGGTCTCATCACCCTCTAGAGCGTCCTACAGGTTGGGAGTAGAGGTTGCTCTAATATCACTACCTGAGGCCATGTATCCGCCTCCTATCGTAGCATGCTGCGGTGTATGGAAGCTATTCTCTGGTGGATGGAAGCTCGAAGAAGGATCCGAGTGAAACTGCGGCTGAGGAGGAGGCCGAAAGGCTGAATGAGGTCCTGCCTGAAATCCTAAAGAAGTGGCGCTTGTCTGATGTCCCGAATAAGTGCCTTGGTGAAACGATGTATTAAACTAGAAGGTCGTAGTAGGCCGAACGTGTTGTGCTCATTGTCGATATGAAATCCGGACTGGATTAGGTACATCACGATGCTCACGTCGCTGTCTACGTGGCCTATGCTCCTGTCTGAATTGTGGCTCCAGGACGACCCAGTCTGGTGTCGGATCAGTACGCTCTGGCCAGGAAGCCATGTTGGGTTGATCATAATCAGGCTGTATAGGTACCGTGAGATCAGGATGCCTGTGCCGCTCCAAACCTGAAGTAGCAACCATTGATGCTATCATGTTGGCCAATTCCTCACACTGGTAGGTGGACATCCCTCCAATCCATACTCCGTCACGTAAACTCAGCATGCTCCAAAGTGTCGTACTAAAATTTAAATTGAAATGTCAGAGATTTCACACAGTTAAGAAATTCAAGACAAATACAAAAAAAAAAAATAAAAATAATTAAACAATAACTAACTAACCAATGCCTCCACTGCAGCTCCTCTCCGTGTTCCTGAACGTCTGGTGACATCTCGATACCACTCCATTACCTCCGAGTGGTAGGCTAAAACCTCCTTACTGTATGGAGTTGTCGCTACAAACTCATGTCGACGGTTCCAGAAACCAAGCGACTCTCTGGAGGCGTGTACCAACTGGTGCCCACGCGATGGCCCACGAGTAGTCTGGTGAAGGAAAAACCTAACCTCGGCCTCAGGATGTGGCGGATGAGGCACAATCTGCCTCATGCCAAACTACCGGAGCATGCAGTCTGGATGGTGATACATCACCGCTGAAAAGCATATCAGTGGCACTACTCCTCGAAACGTCTCAGACTGTATCACACTACCTCTGAGATGATGTGCTCTCTCAACGTAAGGTTGCCACTCAACAAAAAAAAGGTCACGTTATTATCCCTAAATCTAAAACAAACAAATTAAAATATTCTATAAAATGAAATATTATATACTAACCACTATGGTTTCCATCTCGTCAACCACAACTTGTACTGGAATAGCTGGTCACCATACTGACGAGTGTTGGCCGGAAACCATCAAAGACCACGTGGGGATGCATCCTCGGCAATCTGCGCCCTCGTCTCTGAATGTCGCGGTGTCAGATGTGGGAATCGCTCTCACGCCCAGAGCTGCAGTAGGGCTAGCCATCCACCAAGGTGTTCTCCTAGAGAAGTGGAGGAATGTGTAATGTGCAAAGCCGACCTACCCATCTCACAGTACAGGTAGGATAAAACAGCTGTTCCCCAGGCGAATCATTAAGCTCTCTGCCAATCCTCAATCAGAAGTAGGTATTGTAGGTGCACCATAGCTCCAGACCGATCCGGGAACAGTACACCTCCCATCAGAGATAGAGCATAAGCTCGTGCAAACTGCTCTGTAACCTCCTGAGATGCATTTCCCGACAGATGATCGAATTCATCCCTCAGCCAAACAATCCTAACGACACCGCCTGAAAGATCATCCGGAACCCGTCCTAACAGTCTCAAACAGATCACCGGCCATTCCTCATCCGGTATGTCAACTACGACGGGATCATCATCGATCGCCAGACCAGACAGTGTCACAACGTCCTCTAACGTGATCGTGACCTCACCAAACGGTAAATGGAAGGTCGACGTCTCGGGTCGCCAACGCTCTACGAGCGCAGTAATCAAACTCGCATCAGAATTCATAGGGACCAGGGGCAAAACACTAGACAAGCCCACAGCTCCGAGATATGGCTGATAACGCTCATGGTTCCTGACTAAATTGGTGGTACCTCGAACATGGTAAGATCGATCACCAGCCTATAGTGCCCAAAACTTATGTGAATTCAATTTCATTCGTAATAATTCTAATTTATCTAATCTAATCTAAAATTATACTAATTTTAAAAAATTTGATACGTAATTCTATTCTATTTTCAGTACAGTTCAGTTCACCTACTAAAATAATCTAATCTAACTAGCTAATTTAACTTTACATTAATAGTTATCAAATACTTACCTCGTTTGTCCAAACTGAGTCAATACGATGTTGACCATATCCCCAAAGAAGTAACGGATCGACCGGAGCTGGATCAATTGTCGCAGGCGGTAGTCTCATCGAATAACTATCCATAAGCCTAGGAACTGCAAAAGCAACAAAAACATTAATTAAAAAAAAAGGCGGCGGCGGCAAGATTCCGGCCGCCGCCGGCGAGAGATGCTGGTCGCCGCCGATGAGATTCTCACCACGAAAACGGTCGCCGCCTCCACGACCTCGCCGGCCTCTCCCCCTGCCCCTGTCGGCGACTGCTTCCTTTTCATCGGAGGACATCTGCTCCGTCGAACTCAGGCGCTGACGCCTCTGTCTGCAGCGGCAGCGCCTCTGTTTGCGGCCCGATCGCCTCTTTCATCGGCGTGGCCGCCTGTGTCTGCGGCGGGGTTGCTTCTGTCTGGGGCGACGACGGCGTGGCGGGTCTGGTTATTCGGGAGGGCGAGAGTGGTGGGTGTTTGGTGTCGAGGGAGGAAGAAGAAGAAGAAGATAAGAGAAAGGAGAGGTGGCCGCTAGGGTTTAAAAAAAAAGAGAGTGTGGAGGCGGGGGCGCTAGAGACTCAATTGCCAACGCCTGGGACTTGTTTTGTAATTTCAAAACGCGGCCCCGCCTGAGTCTCTGGCGGTCGCACCTATAACCCTACACAAATAGACAATATTTGTGTAAATACTTGTTAATCCACCATATTTATGGTAAATTAAAAAAAAGCATTATTTATGTCATTTATCCCCAAAAATACACATATATTGAAATTAACTGTCTATTCAAGGTTAATAACCATGATGGTAAACATGCACATAGTGGTGGACCCATGGCCTTTTAAGGGTGTCTGTGGACACCCTATTTTTTTACTGCACTGACGAAAACACATGTTATTTATTACATTATAGATCATTTAATTTGTTGATTCTTTATAATATTTTTTATTATTTGAATATTTTTATCTATTAACTAATTTTTTTCAAAACCCCGAGATAAAATTCATGTCTCCGGCATTGCATAAAATGTCTAGTAGTATAGTCAATACAGCAGGAATCCTTTCATCCCCACCTACCCAATTTTACTAATTATGTATTCGCAATATTATATGGTGAAGGGGAGAAGTTTGTTGAACTCATGAGGTGGGAGCTGGAACTGCCGGCCGCAACAAACTCTCGAGAGGGACAAAGCAAATCGAGGAGATTGAGTGACTGACAGACCGAGTTTGTAACAAACTTTGATTTTGGTTTCGAACTGCATGTAACCGTTGAGTTTGATTTCGAACTGCTGACACCCAAAGGCAGTTTGTTGGAATTGACTGGCGGAATGGGCCGTATCCTTTTTTTTGTTTTGTTTTGTTTGTTAGGGTGGTTTGTGTTGGATTGTTTCCAGACAGGCACAGAGGTAAGGAGTTTGTTCCCTCCCAGTGATGCACGCCTCTGCTCCCCATAAGCCACGTGGCCGCCACGATGCTCTCCTCCACTGCCGCGCTGGCACAGTCACTCCACGCCCACGTAGGAACACAGCTAGCTAGCCAGGGGTATGGACCAACGCCGGAAAATCAAAATCCCACTTTTGTACGCCATCTTTAACTTCCTCCCACTTCTACTTATTCTTCTGTAGACGGCAGGCTGATCAAAAGATTTGATAACATAGTAACTAAGTTAAATGGTTTTGACAAATAGGTTTGTGTCATGACATATTGGAATTACAGAACTAACCTTTCGTGCATCTAGTCTACAATAATAATCGATTCAACTTTTAATTCGTTACGTGCTCAAGATTTGGTCTGAAGTGATATCATCACCTTGACCCATTTAGGCTGCTAGACTATCATTTGTCTAGGGTGTGTAATAGTTAGGTTCGGATCACATCGCTCCAGATCAATCAGAACACATTGAATTAAATATAATACAATCTAGTCTTTAGTAAAATGAATTTTATAAATACGGTAGAAAAATAGGTTGATTTGATATGTGGAACATACCAAAGAAACGGAATACAGTGATGATCTGTCTTGTTGATCCTAAAATTTATTTAAATTTGGACAGTGGTTCTCATAACTTGGCCCACATAGGCTACTAGACAATCATTTGTCAAGTAAGATTTGGAAAGATCCACACTTTTCATGTCATCTTTATCATTTTAACTTTTAGAGTACACCTATGGTGACATGTAAAGCACCGTGACTTGCACAATTCGGTCGACCTATGTGTCATCCGGTCGATCGGTTCACCATCTTGGTCATTCTGATAGAATTTACAATCGATCATTAACATACAATTGGTGACCATTTTAAGGTAGTCATTACCAAAATGGTTGACCATAACAAAAAATTGGTCGACCGATTTGAGACAGTCATAAAATAATTGGTCGACCACAATAGGAAAGAGGTCGACATTTCAAGTTAGTTATATACAAAATGGTTGAGCCCGGGCTTTGGCTAGTAGTCTAAAAATTCAAAGGAAACTGTCAACTTTAGAACAACAGGGAGGAGAGCTCCTTTTAAGAGCTAGGTCTATTATATTAGACCTAAATATGGAAATTTTCCCTCGGGCTCCTTATACGGACAATCGCAGGCCAACTGCTACCTACTCCTATGTGAAAGATAAATGCTTTGCTTTGTATTAATCTCTTGCCTGCTTTTTGAGATTTGGTACATGGTGGAGTATTGCTCCCGGCGACCTTCTAAAACATACAGATATCCGTTGTTTAGTAAATTAGGACCTCTTACGCTTTTCTTGCCCTTGTTAATGGCCTTGCCCTTTCGTGCAATTAAAAATTCCTAAATGTCCTTGTCCTAATAGTTGCGAGATTCCATATAGTAATAGTATCCCTAGCTTGAACTTCGATCCCTTACGGATCCAGCCCCATAACAAGATTTATATTCTTTTCGATTATGCTAGGGGAAGACTTGGCAAACCGTAAGAAATAGAGGTGGACCACTTCAGGTAGTCATTACCAAAATAATCATTACCATATCGCAATGAGGCCGATCATTTTTAACAAGAGGTCGACCATATAGAAGAAGAGTCGACAACGCATCAATCCATTCCTCTTGAAGTGAAGCCTAGAGGAAAATGTTGATTTTGCAGTCGACCGCTTCACTAAAAGGTCGACCGCTTACACTAAAATAAGCATGCGACCTTTGAATTTTGTGCTTATGTCTGTACTTTGTATGGTCTAAGAAATTGTGATAGAAACCAACAAATTCAATCCACAATTATAATAGCAAGAAACCATAACTTCTTAATAGTTTAATCACTAACACCAAATACAATAAAACACACCTCACAGTAGTTCACACATACCTAAAATCGAAGACCACAATGACTTGGTATCAATTTACAATCATAGTTGCTTTAAACCAAATCGCCTTTAAGACTTAACAGATTTCACAACAAAAAATACAATCTAAATCATGGAGTTCATAGACATTTCTCCTCTCACTCATCCACATTTTCCTCATTGGTGTTGCTAGCATTATGGTAGTCGGATATGGTGGGATGCGTGTATCTTCCACTGAAAGATAGAAATTCATCTCGCATCTCTATTACACTCACCTGGTGTATGCTCATGTAGCTGGGCTTTGAGCTATGGTATTGTATATGGAATTAACAGAACGAGTATTACGTGTACCAATACTACCCAAATGGGTATTAGCGGGTAACCCGTGGGTACCCAATGTCAAAATTCTTAATCCCAAGTCCCATCCTATAATAAATATTACGGGTAGTTGGGTACTCGTAACCCTAAAAAAAGGGACGAGTATGGGTATACTCAAATACCCGTTTCTCGTTGCCCACCCCTAGATAATTCCGTGTTCAATGTTGATAAGGTAATGCAATAGAGGTCGACCATTTTAAGAATGAAGTAGACCATTTAATGTACAAGGTCGACTGCTTTAAGATTGAGGTCGACCATTTTTATTGTTTGCTTGCCAAAGAGGTCGACCGCTTTGTTGAACGTAACAAAACATAAACAATAGGTTCGGTCGGCCTATTTGTACAAGTCACCGTAGCAAAGTCCTAACTTTTATTTATTACAATATGTCAAGTTTTACTAAGTTAAAACTAAATAAAAATATAATTACCATTTCTAAGATTCGAACTTACAAATTAAAGTTTATTATCACTTATATCATTTAGCTAATAAGGTAAATTATTATGTGTGATGATACTAAGCAAAATAAGATTAGTTCTCATTTTTGAACAAAGTTATAAATTCTAAAAAATAAATTCAAAATTCAAAATTCAATTACTATCAAGGTTGTCAACCAAGTTTAGCTCGTTGGTCCGATTGAGCAAGTGAGTGAAAGGTTATTGGTCTGATCGTTTTAGCCCGATTTAGCTTGATATATGTAAAAATTCATCATACAAATATAAACTGTATCAAATAGCATATAAAAGTTCGTTGATCGACTTTGTCAGGCTTTGATGAAATGTCATGTACAATTTATGAAGTTGAAATTTTTTGGCCAATCGAAGACCAGATGGTCGTGAATATGATATTCACCAATGACGAAGTAACAACTATTATTATTTGGTATTATTGTTGATCCTATTCAAGTACACATTAAGTAGCGACCGTCCTACTAGACGAAACTCGGATAGTGGATAACCGGAATAAGTAAAATATAAAAAGAAGTAAAAGACCGATACCATTAAAAAATAATAAC